TTCGTGGTGAGGTCAGCATCAAATATGGGTTTGATGGGGAACATGGTCCGTCTTTTCATATGATCCATCCTTACAAATTTCATATTATTGACTGATACATTTTTCTTGTTGGTGCTTGACCTGTGCATCTCTCTTACTAGTAGAGAGGAGCATCATAACTAGCTTATGATACAGAACATGTTTAGTTGATGTTATGAGATACCAAATGATTGTTCTTTTTGGAAGAAGGTTTCATTTATGTCATGCATAGCATTTCCCAAATAGAAAGAGAAGCTAAAAGTAAGTCTAACTCACATCCTTGTGTGTCTAATCACACTTAGCCAAATAAAGTATCCAACTCAATTCTGTTCATCAACTGATATTCAGACATCTCAGCTCATTGCTGGACAATTCAAATCAACCTATATCAATGTCACGACAGGGTTGGTGGATTCAGTGGGAAAGATAGTGTTGGCAGTTGCAAATAAAGGATAAATTGATTTAAAAAAAACCGCTTCCCCACCCTCACATCACTTGCCCCAGCACCTACCAACCTAGCAGTTCAAAAGCTTGTAAATGCAAGTAGATAAATAGGTCGCACTTCATTGGGAAGGTAACAGTGTTCCATGTTTCACTGTGGGCTTTGCATTGTGGTGTGATGTCATGTTGGCCACATGACCATAGAAATGTCTTCAGACAACACTAGCTCAATGGTTTAAAGAAACAGAGATGAGCACCACCCCCTAAAATCAGCTATGACTAGCCGAGTAAAATCTGTAGGGACTCATTCAGCTTTACCTTTTGCATCATTTAACAGTTGAATCAGGTCTATTTCATCATGCTGCAACACTTTTAAGGGAACGAACTTAACCTTTGCATGCTCTCTTAGAAGCAAATCCCTACTAAACTAAGCTCAATGCAAATTGTTTTGTTTCAATGTGCACAGGATTGCATTATAAATTAATTTAGGGCAATAGGCCAAAGTGTGCATGACTGGCAAAAAGAGGAAAATGAATCCTCTCCAATTCTGTCTCAGTTATTCTTTTCCCCAACCCTCCCTGTTTCTTCTTGTAGTATCAAACAAGATTATAGGTACATGAACTCCCTGTTATTTATGTGCTGTATGGCACTATCAACTCTCTAAAAAGTGAGCAGCTAGGCTGGTATTTCGTATATCACAGGCAGAGGTGCAGAGGTGCAGGGATGGGTTCTACTTACCTTTACTACCGGTTCGCAACAGGAGTGCGCACACGCTTTTGCGCATGTGCAGAAGCTTCTGTGCATGTGCAGATCACCCATGATGAAGTTGTGTCGGGTGGGCGGAGCCTTCCGCCGGTTTTATTAATGGTTCTATAGAACCGGACAGAACTGGGAGCGACCCACCACTGCAGAGGTGGGTTCCACATATTTTTACCACTGATTCACCACGCACATGCATGCTCGCTTCGTGCACCTGCATACCTTCCGCACATGCACCCGACCTTGAAAACGTGGCTAATGTGGCTTAGGACCAGGATATTTGGCGGACCACTTACAGCCAGCAACGATATCCCATCGCCCGGTTCGCGCCCATAGAGAGGGCCTACTCAGGGTGCCGTCGGCTAGACAGTGGCGGCTGGCGGCCCCCAGGGGTAGAGCCTTCTCGGTCGGTGCGCCCACCCTCTGGAATCAACTCCCTTTAGAGCTCCGATTAGCTCCTGACCTTCGCACCTTCTGCCGGGAATTAAAAACTTGGCTTTTCAAATCCCTTGACCTGGACTGATGATGGGGTTTTAATTGGTTTTAAGGGTTAATTTTAATTTTTTTAGATTTTAGTCTTTATTTTATATTGTGGCTTGTGTTTTATTGTTGTGAGCCGCCCTGAGTCCATTGTGAGATAGGACGGCATATAAGCTGAATGGATGAATGATGGAATGAATGAAATGAATGAATGAATGAATGAATGAATAAATAAATAAATAAATAAATAAATAAATAAATAAATAAATAAATAAATAAATAAATAAATAGGATGGAATAGCACCATGGCGGATGGGTGAGCCCACCCGCGATCTCCACTACCAGTTCACCCAAACCGGTCCGAACCGGCTGAATACCACCATTACACCCAGGACACCGATCCCTAAACTTTCCAGTTTGGTAGACTGATGGGGGAGGAGAGGGATAGTTCCATGTGAGTGGCAGGAAGTGGAGCTTCGCATATGAGTGCAGCAGGGTGGGTTCTACTTATCTTTACTACTGGTTCGCAATGGGACTGTGTGCGGGCTTGCTTCGCTCGTGCGCACATGTGATCTTCTGCACATGCGCAGAAGCTTCTGCACATGCGCAGAAGCATTTTGATGACATCGGGTCGGTGGGCGGAGCCTCCCACCGGTTTTACTACTGGTTCTATAGAACTGGTGCGAACCGGGGGCAACCCACCACTGGAGTGCAAGCATCTGCTGTTCATGCAAATTGAGTTGTGCATGCATGCACACTCATCTGCCGCTTGTGCAGCCCAGTTCCAAATGGACCATGGCCCAGTAATGGGCTGCAGCCTGGTGGTTGGAGACTCCTGACTCAGTAAGTGCCTATAGGAATTTAAAGTACCTGCACCTCCTTCAGAACAGCAAAAGCTGAAAAAGACTTCCAGGGCGCAAAATATGGCATTCTAATATTAGTTAATGTGGGGTGGCTATGAGAAAGAGACACAGTTGTTTATCCTGAACCTACATGTACAGATTGTATGATCCCATCAGTGGTGAGTTGTCTCCGGTTTGGTCCGGTTCTTGCGAACCGGTAAGTAAAACCAGGGGGAAGCTCCACCCACCACCCGGATGTCATCATAGATGATCTGTGCATGATTGATCCCATTGCAAACCGGTAGTAAAGCTAAATTGAGCCCACCCCTGGATCCCATGTTACTATCTAGTTTACCTGGATGGTACTTCTCACATGTTACAGGCAGTTCTCAATTTACCGTACAACCACAATTGGAATCAGAATTTTCATTGCTAAGCAAGGCAAGCGAGTCACATCCAATTTTATGTTTTTGCTATGGTTGTTAAGTTGATAACTGCAATTGTTTAGTGCATCCTGTGGTTGTTAATTAAATCTGGCTTCCCCCATTGATTATGCTTGTCAGAAGCTGGCTGGGAAAGTGGCAAATGATGATCTCATGAACTTAGGACTCTGCAACCGTCATAAATACATGTCAGTTGCCAAGCCCAAATTTTGATCACGTGACTGTGGAGATGCCGCAATGTTTGTAAGGGCAAGGACCAGCTGCAAGTCACATTTTTCAGAGTCATTGTAATTTCAAATAATTGCTAAATAATTTATTGTAATTGAGGACTTGCACAAGTAATCAGGAGTAGGAGTCAGATTCAAAGCACTAAAAATTTATTCCTTACTACGTCCACACAAGAATCTGATCTACTAGCAGTCAAACCAAATTGAAGTTAGATAAGGTCAACAGAATTCATGGGGAGGTGGGGTAGACCTGGGTCTCTTGTGGGAATGCAACAACTCTAAACTTATTATGCACTAGCTGGATACCCGTGCTTCACTACTTATGACCATTTTTCACACTTATGACCATTGTAGCATCTCCATCAAAGTATATCATCATCACCAACAAAGTATATCTGGAGAAATGAAGGTTGCTGCTGAAGTCCCGCCATGATACTCCCTATCCTGTGGTAGACCTGCCCCTGCACTTTGAATGTTGGCATAAAATTTCCCTCCTTCACCTCTCTGGCTCCAAAAGACGTCATTTTGAAGCATCTGTTGTACTTCTGGGCAGCAGAAAGACAGTCTTTTCCCTTTAACTGGTGTTACAGTAGAAGGAACAGATTCATCTGAACTGAGGAGGTCAGTGTAAGAAGTGAGTTGGGGCTCTATGCAGGAGAAATTCAGTCCAAAATCCGCTGGCTCAGTGGTGGTCAGTGATTGAAACACATAAGGGAATATCTCTCCTGCCGCCTTGAGTCTGGAAGCAGTTCCATAGGTGGAAGCGTAAACATTTTGGTGAGGTACTGATGTTTAGTAGTGTAAGGAGCCCCAGACCGCTCCTGAGTGAAGGAGTGGAATGTCTGCCAGTTTGACCTGAGGTAACGGAATGTGAGGCAAGTGGCAGTTGGAACTTTTCAGGTGGGGAGGCGGAGTAGAACGTCTAACTCCTTAGCATCAGAACCTGTTAATATACTATATATGAATATACTGTATATGAAATACTAATGATCTGATGGTCATTTTGAAAAATTCTTTCTTAGCGAGCACCTAGAAGCCAAGAGGAACGTACGTGCCAAATTTCAAGTTTGTAGGCTTTACCGTTCTGGAGATTTCGTGATGAGTGAGTGGATTTGGCTTTTATATATATATAGATTTAACCCCACCCTCTGCCTCAGCTTCCTCATCTCCTATAGCAGTGGTTCTCAGTCTGTGGTTGTGGACCCTGGGTGGGGGCACGATATCACAGAGGGTCTGCAAATGCTTGAAGAAATGTTATGATTCAAATCTTGAGTTATGTCTTGGGAGTTCGTGGCCACAAAAGGTATGTAAAGAGAGTCCGTGGTAAAGAAAAGGTTGAGAACCACTATCCTACAGGACTATCTGGTTGGTTTAAGAGATGTGGTGGCACAGTGGTTAGAGTGCAGTACTGCAGGCTATGCCTGCTGACTGCCGTCTGCCTGCAATTTGGCAATTCGAATCTCACCAGGCTCAAGGTGGACTCAGCCTTCCATCCTTCCGAGGTTGGTAAAATGAGATTGTTGGGGGCAAGAGGCTGACTCTGCAAACCGCTTAGAGAGGGCTTTAAAGCACTGTGAAGCGGTATATAAGTCTAAGTGCTATTGCTATCTGTAATCACATATTTGGTATGTACTGGAATATATTTATATATTGCAAACAATGTCCACAGTCTGTATTATTAATCATTTCAATCAGAAGAGATTCTAACGTATCATCTGCTCTGTGGCTTGGTTCCTATACACGCACTGATCCTTGTCTTCTTCTTTTGTCTCCCTCTTTCCTTCCCCAAGCATGCAAACGCAAAGAGCAAGAACCAAACAAAGATAGGAACAACTCCCAGAAGAAATCTCGTCTGGTTTTCACTGATCTCCAACGCAGAACACTTTTTGCCATTTTCAAAGAGAACAAACGTCCATCGAAAGAAATGCAGATCACCATCTCACAACAGCTGGGCTTGGAACTTACTACGGTCAGTAACTTCTTCATGAATGCTAGGAGGCGGAGTCTTGAGAAATGGCAGGATGATCTGAGCACCGGGGGATCCTCGGCAACCTCCAGCACTTGTACCAAAGCATGATCAAAGAACCGAATCTGAATTGGGCACAACTCAACTAATATCTATTTAAAAGGAATGGATTCTTAACGGGGCCCTTCACTGGTGATTTGAAAGCACAATTCTCCTAAACCGTAATACTACTTTGCAACACGGGGCATTCAGTTTAATTTAATTCAGATGAGAATTAGGCTTTGGGGGTTCTCTCTGTCTGTCTGTCTGTCTTTCTTTCTTTCTCGTGCAGGTCAAAAATATATTCAAGGCAGACTAAGCATGTCAGAAACAGGAGGTGCTCTCTCATGCCTTAGATCAGGGGCGTCCAACCTTGGCAACTTTAAGAGCTGTAGACTTCAACTCCCAGAATTCCCCAGCCAACATGGCTGGCTGGGGAATTCTTGGAGTTGAGGCCCGCAAGTCTTAAAGTTGCCAAGTTAGAACACCCCTGCCTTAGATTAACTCACAGACGGTGTGATAGAGCCAAGCAAAGTTCATTATCTTTGGGGCCACAGGGAGCAGCCAACAAAATGGCACCTAATTGAACAGATTGCTCACTATCGAAGGTTCAAACCCAGCTGACCCCATCCATTTTCTAAAGGCTTAGATTCTCCACACTAGTATACCAAAGCAAACAAACACGGAAATAAGCAAATACTGAGCACAAATGTTAACTAGACCTAAAAACACTGGGTTGTACTTTAGAGACTCAGGCAATGTTATGCTGAATATTTTTCAGTATCATCCAATTAAGCCTGTTTGGGCTTTTTTTCTAAAAAAACAAAAAAACAAATTGTGTCTAAGGACAAGGATCTAAGGTTTGGTTCCCAGGAGCCAATTTATCAAGCACAAAAGCAATAGATGTAAACAGCTGTGTGTTCTTTGCCTGTTCTTTTAGGACGTGCTCGGAGTCGGGAGGGGGTTGTTAGTGAACATGTTGGTTTCAAGCACACTTTTGCAGGTTTTTCACAATTTCTATGTGTACATAGTGCAGACTCACACTCAGGAAGCCCGTTTAGATGCTACCACACAAAGAGCAAATGCAACAAAGACCACCAAACCATTAATTTCACCACACCGTTATTATCCAAGTAGATTAAGGATACCTCTTTTTTTTTTTTTTTTTTTGACCACATAATTTTTATATTTTGATTAGTTGGTGTTTCAGCAGAAAAAGAAACGAACGCCTTCAACTGTCTCTCACCATTGGCGCACTTCCTTTAAAAAGTGTGGTCCAAGCCTGTTCCCATGGACGAAAAACCATCTTCATTTATCACTTCATGTCAGAAAAAAAAAAATGCAACACTACCAAAGATGCAGGATACTGCAAACCAAAGACCATCATAATGTTTATCTCATTGCCATTTTGTTGTCATTGTCGATTTTTTGTCAGATCTTGCATACATTTAGCCAACAATGTTGGTCAACCTACGGCTCTTTCAGCTCACCTTCCCAGGGAGCTGAAAGAGAGTTAGTTCCTCAAGTGAAGTAGCAATGCTAACTTTTAATCGCACTAGGGTACTGTGCTCACCTACTGATGCATAAACACTATTGTCTTCATCAGAATTCCTCTGGTCACGCAATGTGCACATTTACCAGTGAATAGCCCCTTTCCTTCGAACACCACTTGAGTGTTCACTAGCAAGCCAAATGCTGTAATGATCCTTTAAAGACACTTGAGACTCTTTTATGTACTACTTAATCGAAACCAAAGAAACTTTTTCTGCACCTATTTCTTCTGCAACAAACTGTTCCATTTAAGGGGGAAAAAAAAATAAAAGAAAAGAAAGAAATGAATAATAGTTTAAAAAAAAAAAAAACCAAACCAAACAAGGAAACACGTCAGGAAAAAAATAAATAAATAAACCAATGATAACACACTGTGTTTTGACAGACATCTTGGGACATTTTTAGGAAGCAGAGTTCAAAGAAAGGGTTGACAAGAAAGGAAACGAATGGAAAAGCCAACAGGATTGCTGCTTCATTTGACAACTCAGTAATCTTAAAGTTGAAGATTGTCTTTAATTTGTGCCTATGCAGTTTTTTCAAAAGAACAAGGAACAGAGCAACCGAAACCTCAACAGCTACAATACCAAAGAATGAGGATTTCTCACAACTTTTAGTTCAGTTCATTCTCTCTCCCCTTGCACAGCGAATAATGCTTTTAGCACCATTGATCTGTGTGAAGGTAAATGGTTTCTGTTTCTTTTGAGCAACAACAAACCAACACACACAAAAGGGATGACTTTTAAAGTTCTTTTCTTATTTTATTTTTTTCCTAGTTTCTGCTCCCACGTGGAATCTTCTCAGGATTCCATGAGCTCCAAGTATTAAGATGTTGGGATACTAAACTAAACCTGGTGTAGGGAGGGAAAACCTCATCAGCCAAATGCTAATTTTGAATCAAGAGGGCTATGTGATTTTTATGCTTTTGAAAATGTTTGTCTAAAGGTTGGGGGATTGGAGGAAAAAGTATTATCAATGTCAAAGAAATTATATTTGTATTTGTCGATACAGGAATATGTTTGGAAAGGAGCCTCACCTCATACAATCTGGCCAGTGAACAATTATAGGTAGCCCTCGACTTACGGCCACAATTGAGTTCAAAATTTCCATGGCTAACCAAGACAGTCATTAAGCACGTTGTGCCCCATTTTATGGTCTTTTTTTTTTGCCACCATTGTTAAATGAATCACTGCACTTGTTAAGTTAATCACGTGTTCGATAAGAGATGCCAACTTTCCCCATTGATTTTGCTTGTCGGAAGCCAACTGGGGAACGTCACCCATGGTGATCACATGACCCTGGGACGGCGCAACTGTCATAAGTACATGCCAGTGGCCAAGTGCCCAGATTCTGATCACATGACAATGGGGATGCTGCAAAAGTTGTAAGGTGACGATCATAAGTCACTTTTTTTTCAGTGCTGCTATAATTTTAAACGATCGCTAAATGAATGGTTGTTGATTGAAGGCTACCTGTAGTTGTTCAGACAGTTTGACTTAGTAATTCAATGTGATCCATGTACTATCGAGACATGAGGACAATCTAAGGCCTTTCTGCTAGATAAGTGCTTCCCACCTAGAAAATCATGCTTCCCTTCTTAAGCTTACTTCAATTTATACCCTATTTCCCCATTCTACCATATTCTCGTCTTGCCTAGCATACCTGTATCATAAGAGCTCAGCACTGTTCCATTTAGTTCCCATCTCACTGACCTCCAGAACTCAACCTATAAGTGTCAAGGATGTTCACCTTTGCTGTTACTAATGAGCCTGTAAACCTTGTTCTGAAAATCCAGAATCCCGGCTGCTATTTCTAACTCATATTATGGATCTGATTTTTTTTTCCCCATCATCCAGAACACACGCACACACTTGCAAGTTTCTGTTATTATAGCCCATCTCCATAAAAACAGTTTTAACCTTTCCTATGGAGTTGATTTTCAGATCTGATCCAGTGGTGGGTTGCTATCGGTTCGCCCCGGATCAGGCGAACTGGTAGCGGTGGCGGCGGGAGGCTCCGCCCAAGCACCCGGACGTCTCTGCACATGTGCAGAAGCATCATGCGTGTGCCCACAAACGAACCAGTAGCGGCCGAAATTGAAACCCACTACTGAACTGATCTACCTAATGGGGTTGACACAAATCTTGCAAGTTTGATGGTGCTACACCGCCTTCTTTTTCTTTTAATTCACCAGTGAATCAAGGAGGCTTCTGCCTGAGCGATTTCTGAATGTTATCTCATTGTTCTGGACTTTTAAAAAAATATATATTTTGTCTGCTTTTGCCTAACAGTTCCTGCCTATTTCAGTCAAAGTCTTTCTTGCTTACTCTCTACAAATTTAGAGCCTTCATACCCATAGAACAAACTGGACACAAGTGGCTTAAGAACAAAAAGGTAGACTTTGCATCACATACGTGATGTTTTGGAGCAATAAATTAAGAAAAATCAGAACTTCAACAACCTGCCCCTAAGAAAGAGTTTTTTTCAGTGGAAATCTAGCCATTTTGCTGATATTTATCTGCATATAAGTACAACAAATATATATATATATAAATGAATACAATCATCATTAGAATTACAGCCTCAAATTAATTAAATCTGGGTACTGACTACAGAGTGAGACCTGTGAGCCATCATTCATGTGTGCAGTGCTGTTGATTTGTTTTGAATAAATCTGCTTGGACCTGTGAGGGGAAGAGAAAGTCATTTCAAATCTAATCTTTTCATGGAAAAAGGTAGAAAAGCTATCCACATTCTTCACTTATCTACTGATTTTTAGGTAGCTATAATAAACAGAATTCCTGCTGCAAAAAAAATATTATTTGAGAAGCCAACATATTACAGAGAGCAAGGATGGGTATATTTGGTTTCATCTAAGTGCTCACATGTGTTAGCATTGAAAAGATCTAATAAAAAAATCTTACGATTAAGCAGGAAATGAAGCTTTTGCTCAGCTAACCACTGATTTTGTTCTCATTAATTCACTCCTTATCCAATCTTTAGAGGAGCAGTTGGGACAAACCCCATTCCAAAATTGACCAGATCAATTAATCCTTTGAGTTCATCCATGTTTTTAAGCACCTTTTTCAAAGGACGATATAGAATAGAGTCCTTGTTGTACATAATAAGTTTTATATTTTTTCAGTGTTGTTTTAATGTTATTCAAAACAGTAGAGAGTAAGCCAGTCTGACTGAGATTTCTTAAAGTGTTTGTGGCAGGCACAGGGCATTCATAATTTATCCAAATTCAGAACCTATTTGTGAAAACAAATAGGATTTTAAGACTACTACAGCTTTGGTTTCCTTCATTACTTCAGCATTATGTTAAAGCTAGGATTAATGGTATGGAAGATGGTATGTATGTAGGGAAGTACATTTTTATGTAAATGCATTTATATTTATTGTGCATGAAGACAGATAGCTAGATGATAGATAGATAGATAGATAGATAGATAGATAGATAGATAGATAGATAGATTTCACACATACAAACTGTAGATCTACCAGTAATCCTTACTACAGAGCAATGTTTCTCAACCTCAGCAGGTTTAAAATATATGGATTTCAATTACCATAATTCCTCAACCAGCTTGCTGGTGGAGCCCTGGTGGCACAGTGGGTAGAAAGCAGTATTGCAGGCTAACTCTGCCCACAGTCTGGAATTTGATCCTGACAGGAATCAAGGTTAACTCAATTCAGCCTTCCATCCTTCCAAGGTCGGTAAAATGAGGACCCAGATTGTTTGGGGGTGGGTGGGTAATATGCTGACTTTGTAAACTGCTCAGAGAGTGCTGTAAAGTGCTATCAAGCAGTATATAAGTCTAAGTGCTATTGCTTAAAGCTGAGAGACACTGCTCTAGAGAAATGGTGATGTTATATCTGAGCCATCAATACTAATATTGCAGGAAATATATAATGAACCATTGCAGGTCCTAGTTAGAACCTGAGAGCTGGGATCTGTTTATTCAGTTCGGAGGCATATTCTGGTTTTAATTTTATATGAAAAGTATTAAAATTTGAAATCTTGTTGTAATCCCAATTTAGACAGCTCTTTTTAAGCCACATGGAGTCTTCCCAGTTATACATCCTCTCTCTATCCATTACATCACAATTTCTATCCATTACATCATCTGGTCCCTACTCTGGAATTATTTTGTGTTGCCTTGTCCTGGTCAGTTATTGTCTGGTGCAGCTGCTTTCTTTCTCAGTTTTATCTAACTCTGGTTTTTTTCCCAGGCAGGAACTCAAACAATAGCCAAGTACAAATGGGATTTTAGGAGATGGCGATGGTATTTTAAGCATGCTATGTGTCTGTATTGATTTAAGCATCTGTCTGCTTGCCTTGAGTACTGCCTATTTTATATGCTCTCTTTCTCAAAGGAATGACGGTGTAATAGTATCCCAACATCTCTTTTTATCTTTATACTTGGAGTTATTTTTCATGGGCACATCCAAGATGAATTCAACTTTCAAGAAACCTTGGATATTGTTTAATCATCTGTGGAGGAACAAAGAATGTGCTTGATTACTTCGGTTGAATAGCTTTATTCTCGATCTCTCTTAACTAAAGCTAAACCCAAAGACCTATGAAGGACAAAACCAGCAAAATGTAAAGCTCAGACCGACCAATGGGAATACAACCTCCTTTTCTTTTTTCTTTTTTCTTTTTAAACCCAAAACCAAACCAAGAAACAAGCAAAAAAGACAAGATGTAGAAATGACATAGCAATGGGGGGGGGGGGGGGGGGGGGCGAGGGACCAAAATTCTGCAGCTTCTTTCTTGCTTGTCAGCATATTTTAAATATTTTGTGATCTTTCTAGATGACACTTGGCCTAGTCTATATTTATTATGGGAATATTTTTTTTTCTTTGTTATCCTTTAAATGTTTTGCTGGTTGACTACAAAGCCTTTACTTCTGTCCTGATATGTTTGGGCTATATAACCCATTGTATTGTTGATCAGTTCTGAGATTTATTCTAATTTGGTGGGGATTCAAATCTGAAGTTTTAGCTCTAGTTAAGCGTTCATTCCATAGATGATCATGAGAGGCAAACTCAGTCTATGTACCATCGTCTACTATAAATAGCAGTTTAGCTGGAACTAAAACTACAGGGATGGGGTCTAATAATTGATTGGTTTTGATGATTATTTTGATGACATTCTTGTTTATTGTAGTTGCAATTCACCTGGATTTGCTCCTGAGCATGTGCCATTGAAATGAACGGATGGTGTACGTAAATACCAAATTTCAATGGGGCCTGTTCATCGGCATCTTTCAGGATTCCGCCTTTTATTTGCTAGAATTATTTTTTTGCTTATTTAATGAACCTAGAATTGTAGTGCATCCTAGATGCAAATTGAAAGTTAGCTCAGACATTTTATTTGGGGGCAAAAGGGAATATCAGTAAAGTTTCTAGATTCTGTTACAGTTTCAGGTTACCAAAATAATAATAGCAACAATAATAGTAAAGTTACTAAGGAAAAAAAAATCTCTCACATCCCTTTCCCCAAACTGAGGTATGTTTTATATATTTTAATCAGTCTCAATACTTTATAAAGTGATCAACCCTTAAGTTATTTAAATTAATTCCTCCTTTTCATCTCACTTAAAAGATAAAAGAAAAAAATAGTGAGGTATACCTTTTAATTATTATTATGGCACATAAATGCCTTCATAATATAACTTATTTATTTAACTTATTCAGCATCTACTAAAGGTGCCCTTGTATAGTTTATATTTTATTTTTTTTTAATAAATCAATTTAAAGCACTACAATTTATTTGCTGTCAGAACAATAGAATTATTATTATTTCTTCTTCTTTCCTTTTTTTTGGACAAGCAAGGAATATTTTGTCTAAAACTCTACATTCAGGAACAACAGGGGATTTTTTTTTATAAAAAAAAAAAAAAACCCCAAAACACTACAACACTTTGCCTGAACTTTGTGGCTTTTTAAAAACCTAAGCTGGGGGGAAAAGATATAAAATAACAACAAGCAAAAAAAAAAAGTAGGTAATTTTAAAAAGAGAGAAACCCTTAAAGTAGCTGCTTCCAAGAATGAACTTTGTGTGTGTGTGTATGTAAAACAAACAAACAAACAAAAAAGGTTTAAAAAAAACAGGAAAAAGGAAAAAAAAACTTTCTATTTCTAGTGAGAACCAAAGAGGCTACCTCACTTGACTTTTCCATTTGTAATTTTAATCGTGTTGATGATACCAAAGATACCAAAGAATTCTTTCTCTGTGCGGTCTGCATCTTGCTTGTGCTCTTTATAGTTTTTAACGTTTTCTCTTTTACATCCAGTATGTACAGCTGCAACTCAGTTACCCACCCACCCCACCCCCCAAAAAAAAGAACGTTAGAGGGATCCTGCTAATTCTGAAGGAGCTGATTTATTTATTATTTTTGTATTTATCTTGGTCACTGCCCTTCCCACCCTGTGTCCCTCCCCTTCTACTGCAACCTATCAGCTTGATCTTAAGCACAGTCTCCAAGAAGAGAAATCCTCTGTGATGCTCACCTATTCACCTGGAGCCCTAGTGGTGCAGTTGTTAAAGTGCAGTATTGCGCCCTGGTGGCGCGGTGGTTAAAGTGCAGTATTGCAGGCTAACTCACTGTTCACTGCCAGGAGTTCGATTCCAACCTGCTCAAGGTTAACTCAGCTTTCTACCCTTCCGAAATTAGTAAAATGATGGCCCAGATTGTTGGGGGGGCACTATGCAAATAATGCTTATATTGTAAAATCACCCAGTGACAGTGCTGTAAAGCATTATGGGGCAGTATGTAAGCCTAATTGCTATTGGTACCCACTTGGAATTGGTAGACGGGGATGGGCATGTCATCCAGAAACAATCCAAATAGTACAGATGAAAATGGGAATCCTTTGTGCAATCCCTAGTTGATATTTGAGTCAGCTCCTGTATTTTTGGCTAAATCTGGTTGGGGCCTTGACTGATTCCAAAAACTATAGAGAAAATTTTGGAGCTGCTTAGAATGGAAAAACATGCTTGGTGGATTCACAATTTGGGGGTTTCCACTCAAAAGATGTTCAGGAGGAAGGTCCTCAAATCTCACCCTAGAGAGCTGTAATCAGACTCAGAGTAATCAACTTGAGATGTAGGACCTGGGTAGATACACCTCAAAGGGAGCTGGTTTAAAAAGTTGCATGAAATTCATACAGTCAACTCCTTGATCCATCTAGCCAGGCAGTTTACAGGTTCACAACCTGTGGTTTGCGGACTTTGCGGGGGGGGGAGCTGCTGTGCCATCACAAGTCTGTGAAGGCTTGAAGAAATGTTATGATTTAAATCTTGAGTTATTTATTTATTTATTTATTATTGCAATTTATATGCCGCCTTTCTCCCTGGGGACTCAAGGTGGCATACAAAATGACAAATTCCAATACAAATCACAATGAAATAAAATTAAAATCAGCAACCCTATTAAAAACAGTTTAAAATTATGACAGTGTACCCCCAAACGGATCAGTTGAGTTGACGAAAGAGCCACATCTTCAGCTCACGATGGAAGGAAAGAAGGTCGGGGGCTGTCCTGAGCTCGGTGAGCTCGGTGAGTTATGTCTTGGGGATCTGTGGCCAGGATCCGTGGCCACAAAAGGTATTTAAAGAGTGAAGAAGAAGTTAAGAACCACAGGGTCTAGTGAGCTGCCTGCTAGATGGATCAAGGAACTGACTTTATAACTTCTTAAACCCTTTGAAGTGGACCTACCCAGGTCCTACAGCTCAAGCCACTTTTGAAGCTCAGCTGCAAAAGCAGTTTGTGGTGGGTCCTACAGGAAAGATCTGCTTTTCACAGAGGGAAGAGTGCAAAATCCGATTTGGTGAGCTATAAGTAGATTTTTGGATCTCAGCCATCCATCCCATCCACCAGACAGGGACTTTCTTCTGCATTATGTGGAATTAAGCAAACCTATTTTAATGGATCTGACAAAGGCTTGAGAGAAGCCATCCAGAAAGATAAAGAAAGTGTTAGTCCCTAACACTATGGCCCAAAGTTTCTACATCTAAGTCTAAGATTTGTTGAAATCAATGCAGTTTTAAGGAAGATATATTTAGCATTAGGTCAGATAGGTTTAATATTGCCCATGAAGCAGATGTAACCATTAGGTGTCCTTCCAATAGGTTCAGCTTCCACTCCAATAAGCCCAAACACTATAATCAAGAATGGAGGCTACGTATATTTAAGACTGCACCCACACTTAGAAGTAAATAGAATTAACTTCAGTCAGTCATGATTCAGAATATCCATGACTGGATAATTGGACTATATCTTGTTTCAGTTTGTTCGAAGTGCTTTTATGTTGCACTGCACTCAGCCCATCTGAAAGTGAAGTTTAAGACATAAAATTCTAGCACAAGCCCATTTCTTCTTGCAAAGGGAAATGCATGGAGTGATTCACAACACTAGAATGAATAGGGAAGATCCAGCTGGCCATATAATTTGCTCCCAG